TTGTCTCTATATCTCGATCTCAGCGTAAGGCAAGAACTAGTGTCATCCTTATTAAGCTAGATCATGTTTATCGAACTCTGATTTATACTGATAAGACAAACGACTGACATTCACCTCGTTTGAGCATGGCCATGCATTTCTCAGTATCAAATCTTCGATAGGCCCTGAGATATTTATCTCCCGTTATATAGGAGGGACATATCCCATCTTGTTCTATCCATGTTCTTTACAAACTTCTTAGAACACCTAATCAATGCCTTTATAATCACCAGTTACGGCTGACGTTTGACAAGGTCAAAGTGAACTAATCTACAAGTAAAGAATCATGATGAACTCAGGTCAAAGGACTATACTATATAGTCGTAATGAGAAACTCTTATGACACTCATATAACAATCTTGTAGAGTTCTCATAGCGGGTCAGTCCGATCATGTGTTCCCTAACACATATCCATGTGATTGACTTCAATACCACATATTGAATGACTCCATGAAACTTAGTCATCAATCACCTCACATACTAGCCATTCGTGGTTATTAATGTCCCACGTTAACAACCTTGACTAGGGACCTTAATAATTTATAACATCTTTCACTTATAGGGTTTCATGATCAAGTCACGCACTTGATGACCTATAAGAATAATATAAATTATTTTGGGACATTTATTTAATTATCCAATAATCAAATAAATCTGAAACAATTTAATTAGTTTGAATACATATTCAAATGTATGTCAATATGAACATCATATCATAAACGTAAAATCTCCCACTTTAATCAAGATCACATCTTAATATACTTAATGACCACAACTACAACATGACTCTCATCTTAGGCTATGGAAGAGGCTTGGTCAATGGATCAGCAACATTTGCATCCGTTGAGACTCTGTTAGGGTACCTTTCTTGGAACTCTTCCAACACACAGTTCAACAAGTTCATCACTTCCTCCACAGATTAAACTTATCCTTAGTATTTCTGAAATACTCGAGGATAGTCTACACAAGCATCTTGACATAATCCAATGGTCTTATTTAATCTATCTCTATAGATTCTTATTCCAAAAATAACTTTCTACGTTTCTCGAACTTCTTCGAGCT